CCATACCACCCTTCCCCCAACCTGGCACTCCCCCCAGCTCCTCTGAGCCCTTGCTTTCCCTTAGGATTTAGAGTTTTAGCAAACATAGAAAGTGAAATCTTGATTCCCCCACAATAAAAGAGGAAATGAGGGTAGGGTAAGAGAACTGTCTCTCTTCCCCCTTGCGTTCTTCGAGTTTAGGAAAAAAGACTGGATCGTGGGGAAGAGAAGAGGAATTTCCCTGAAACTCTTTGTATGCCCCCCTTCCTTTCAATAGGAACTGGGCCTGGGGCCAGCTGTGTTGGCAGGGCCCTTGGCAGCTGTGCTTGGGCAAGAGGCACGGACGGACGAGGTTATAAGGGAGGGTGTTGCCAGGATTTCTCTGTCACACAATGGGCAGACAAATCACGCTTGGATGCCTGGGATCCCCATCCAGGGTGGCTGAAGCTGAGGAAGCAGGAAGAAGGAAGCTCTGGTTCTAACTAAACAACATAAGTCCCCACCTTCCCCTGCCCAGCTAGATTTCTAGCCTCCAAGGCATCCAGTTCATCGTTCTGCCCCCTGGCTCATCTGTGTCCTGCTGTGTCCATGTGTATCTTTCCATTCTCCAATCACTTTCCCCATTCCCCCCAGGCTCCGTGAGCACCAGAGTGGGGAGGGGGTGGGGCCATCATGTCATCGTATCAGAAGGAACTGGAGAAATACAGAGACATAGATGAAGATGAGATCCTAAAGACCTTGAGCCCCGAGGAGCTGGAGCAGCTGGACTGCGAGCTACAGGAGATGGACCCCGAGGTAGGGGCTCTGGCACAAGGAACCAACGAGGAAACGGGCAGCCTCCGAGCATTGGGGAAGGGGTGGTGGGCCCCGGGTGGCTGAGATCAGGGCTGCCTACAGGGCTTGGAATCCCAAGAGGGCCAGGGAAAAGGTGTGTGCAGATGTTTAGGGAGCCCTGGAGGTACCCCAGATCAGAGGTCTGACTTCCTCCCCAAAACTCATCCCGAAGAACATGCTCCTGCCCGCTGGACTAAGACAACGTGACCAGACAAAGAAGAGCCCAACAGGGCCACTGGACCGGGATGCCCTTTTGCAGTATCTGGAACAGCAGGCACTAGAGGTCAAAGAACGTGATGACTTGGTGCCCTTCACAGGCGAGAAGAAGGGTATGGAGACACTAACAACCATGCCTACCAAAACCCAATGGTCATCTCTCAAGTGCACCCCCTCCAGCTTCCCTCTGACCTTCCAGCTTCTAGCTGCCCAGGGACCTGGCCACCCTGAAACACACATGCCTCTTTCACTCTCCAGCTTTTAGGAGAGATTAGGGGACCCAGGAGTCCTGAGCTGGTAGAGGACTTGGGCCTTACGGTGGCCCCTAGTGACCCAAGACTCCACCTCCTGGAGAAGGAAAGGAAGGAAGCTAGAGACAAGAATCGTAGGAGGAATGACCTCCACCTGAGCCACCCTTCATCTCCCCATCAGGGAAACCCTACATTCAGCCCAAGAGGGAAATTCCTGCACAGGAGCAGATCACTCTGGAGCCTGAACTGGAAGAGGCATTGGCCCATGCCACAGACGCCGAAATGTGTGATATTGCAGGTGGGCGGCAGTGGAAGGTTAGGGAGGGTGGGGAGATCCAGGGCAGGGCGGTTCTAGCCAGGCCATGGGACTAGTGAGGAAGGCCCTGAACAGGACATGAATGTTAGAGAAAGCCTCAGGTCATGGTTTTAAGTTTTTGCTTATGTATTCACTCATTCATTTTTTATTCTAATACATTCACATCTCAGAGACAAGTTTATAGGGATTATAAAGCAGATAAAAGTAGAACTATTCTGGCTGGAAATAGGAGGAAGTCTAACAGACTCCCTCACTCTTTTCTCTTTTTTTTGAATGTGAAACACTTGTTTTTCTCTCCCTTACCCTCTAGGGGCTCCTTAGGGACCTTCCCTTAGCCCTGTGTCAAACTTGTTTGTTGGTTTTTTTTTTTTTTTAATTTTTTTTTTCAAAGTTTATTTATTTTTGGGACAGAGAGAGAGACAGAGCATGAACGGGGGAGGGGCAGAGAGAGAGGGAGACACAGAATCGGAAACAGGCTCCAGGCTCTGAGCCATCAGCCCAGAGCCTGACGCGGGGCTCAAACTCACGGACCGCGAGATCGTGACCTGGCTGAAGTCGGACGCTTAACCGACTGCGCCACCCAGGCGCCCCTGTTGGTTTTTTTTTTAAGTTTATTTATTTATTTTGAGGTGGGGAAGGACAGAGAAAGAAGGAGAGAGAGAATCCCAAACAGGCTCTGTGCTGTCAGCGCAGAGCCCGATGCGGGGCTCAATCTCATGAACCATGAAATCATGACCTGAGCTGAAATCAAGAGTTGGACACTTAACCAATGGAGCCACCCAGGCGCCCCCCTCCCCCCCTCAAAGTTTTAAAAACTACCACCTTAAGCAGTTCATAGAAGGAAACCCTGGGACCTAGGGAGAGTGGGAACCTCTTTGGAAGAGGGGGGAGAAGTCAGGCTTTAAAAAACTGCAACAGATTCAGAATGAGAAGGGAGGGGATTTGGAACAAACTCCTTCTTCTCATTCCCTGTTCCCCCTCTACGTACTCTCTCCAGCAATTCTGGACATGTACACACTGATGAGCAACAAGCAATACTATGACGCCATCTGCAGTGGAGAAATCTGCAACACCGAAGGCATTAGCAGTGAGTGTTTGGAAGCATGGCATCCAGGGCTTTGGGAAGGCAGTCCCAAGGTCTGATTAAAGGTAGCAAAGGGTGAAACGGGGATCATGGAGAGGACATGGTACAGAAGTAATGGGAGAACCAATGGGGAGGAGGTTGTGGGGGACATGTCGTGGTTTCCTTCTGGCCCTTGCCCGCCAGGTGTGGTGCAGCCTGACAAGTACAAGCCGGTGCCGGATGAGCCCCCAAATCCCACAAACATCGAGGAGATACTAAAGAGCGTTCGAAACAATGACAAGGAGCTGGAGGAGGTGAACCTCAATAACATACAGGTATCTGACCCCTATGTTCCAAATAATAAATGGGATTAACTATGTGAGTCCCAGATATGTGGGTCCCTTAGCCCACCATCTCTTCTCCTCTGACAGGACATCCCGATACCCATGCTAACTGAGTTGTGTGAGGCCATGAAGACAAATACCTATGTCCGGAGCCTCAGTCTGGTGGCCACAAGGAGTGGTGACCCCATCGCCAATGTAAGGCAACTTGAAATCCCAGCCCCCTCCCCATACATGCACCCCTTGACATGCACCCCTGCCAGGGCTGTCATAAGGGGTTGGGGTTGTGCTGGGGATGCTATTCCCATCACATAATCTTAGGATGGCCTGATGAAGACTCCTACCCTCAGTCCCACGGCTCTTAGCTCGGAAATCCTCAGATCACCTTCTCAGAGAGCCGCAGCCTGCTCTACCACCCCGCCAACTCCACCACACACTTAACCTCCCTGCTTCCCCTACGACCTGTGCTCCCTTCCATCTCCCTCTCACCCCACCTACAGCTCCTCAAGGACTCTTCTCAAAGAGCTGTGTTTCCCTCTTGCTCCTGTTCTTTCTCTCCTCAGTCATCTGTGAAACTCCCCTAATCCTAACCCAAGTCCCTACTACCCAGGCGGTGGCTGACATGTTGCGTGAGAATCGTAGCCTCCAGAGCCTGAACATTGAATCCAACTTCATTAGCAGCACAGGGCTCATGGCTGTGCTGAAGGCAGTTCGGGAAAATGCCACACTCACTGAGCTCCGTGTAGACAACCAGGTGAGCTTTCCCTCCCCTGGTCCCCTGATCATTCAACTAATATTCACCGAGTCTCCTCCCTGAGGCTGCCACTGGGTCAGGATCTCACCTAATCTTGTCTGAAACCTCTTCGTTGTCTCTATGAGGGGAGCCAAGGTCAGCACCTCTTATCACCCCTTCTGATGAAACAAGCTTTTTCAACCTCCCAAAGGGTTGGTGGTATGGCACGGTGAACAACACAGAGAAGGGGGCTGACAGGGTTCACCTCTCCGTCCCCCAGCGCCAGTGGCCTGGCGATGCAGTGGAGATGGAGATGGCCACCGTGCTCGAGCAGTGTCCCTCCATTGTCCGCTTTGGCTACCACTTCACACAGCAGGGGCCACGTGCTCGGGCAGCCCAGGCCATGACCCGGAACAATGAACTACGTGAGTAAATGCAGACATGCTGTATGGGGGCAAGTAGATCCTTCTGAAGCCTGACTTAGGGACTAATAGCCTGGGGTACAGCCAAAGCAATATTCACACGTGAAGTTTAAATCCCCTAAGTGACTAAAAAGTATAGAAGAGTCTCCCTGCCCCCAAACGTATACCCGTAGAAAGGCAGGAAAGGAGCTAGACATACCCGTTTGGGAGCATGGTACTTTTACTTGCCATGTCATGTCTTATTTCGTTTTGTTAATGTGGGGTGGGCGTGCTTGCTGGCCAAAGACACTACCTCTTTATGAGTCTGGCCTCAAGGACCTGGAAAGAAGAGCACCTCTGCAGGAAGTAAGAGATGGAAGAAAGACTTGTGTTTACTGTTTCCTATTACAGGTCGCCAGCAAAAAAAGAGATAACACTTCCTTTCCCTTTACCAACCAGAGCTGGAAGCCCTGAATGCTTAAATCCTCATCTCTCCCCCTTCCTGTAAATAAAGGCCCTTCTGTCCACTCTGCCTGCCTCCTTCCTTGGGCTCTGGGGTGGGAATCTTGGCACTAACACCCAAGGATTACTGCCAGTTCATCAGGGGATTATTTATACTCTGGGGATCAGCAGACAGAGAGGTTCAAGTTACTAGGAGGAGGTGGGGGAGCTCCCTCCCTTGGTGTTCCCCACACCCCTGTCTTTTCATTTAGTCCTTTCTGCTCTCACAGAGTACCTACCCCAACCCTCTTTCCAGACGTGGCCAGGTCCCCCGGCGTCTACCCACAACCCTTGTGTGATTTGAAGGAGGAAAGGACTTTGAGTGGCGGTGGGGAAGAAAGCAGACAACATGAAGGGCACAGACCTCCTTCTGACAGGCTTATTAATAGGGCATTGGGCTACGTGCAGCTGACGCTTGGCATGACATTGGTAGAAGGTGGGGGAGGGGTTAGAAGTATGGGGAGTCTTGTACATTGCAGGGAAGAATTGGCCAGGCTGAGAATGCAGGTTTGAAATCCTGAAATGGAACAAGGAAGGAGACTCGAGGAAAATTCAGCTTCCAGAGCCCACTGAAATTTACTTCTGAACTGAGTGGGGGAATGGAATGTGTCAGTCCAAAGGGAGATCAGGGGGTTCCTCTTCATCAGAGTCAAACTCAACATTCTCATCTTTTACCCATCGACCTTGTCCATCTGGGATCCATCCAGAGCTGGAAATAACAAAGAGAATAGGTCAGGAAAAGAGATTTAAGTAGTAGGGAATAAGGAAAAAAACAACAACAACAATTGAGAAGGATTGAAAAAAGGAGAGTCAGAGAGAAAAGAGAAAACTTAAGGAAGGTGATTCTGTATCCTCACCTTCGAAGGGTGAGGTAATGATCCAGGGCACGTCTTCTCGTGGGGCTCATGGGTGCAGAGGATGAGACAGTTGCTGACTCCTTGGCCTGTGGGCCAGCCCCAGGCACGGGTTCCCTACTGATCTTCCCACTCTTGGGTTCAACCTCTGGGGGTGGCAAAGGGAAATGGGAGACAGAGGGACGAGGGGTTTCTGGTCTGGGTAGAGAAGAATCAACGTCTATAAAAGTGGTAAAGGATAAGGGCCAATTCTCTTATGAATCCCAACCCCTTACAGCAGTGCTTCCTAAATTGTTTCCCTCAAGGGACACCTGGCTGGCTCAGCCCGTACAGCATGCAACTCTTGATCTCAGGGTTGTGGGTTCAAGCCCCACATTGGGTGTACAGATCACTTAAAAATAAAAATCTTAAATATAAATTTGTGTATCATATATATATATGTGTATATATATATACCATATGGTATATATACATATACATATACATATACATATACATATACATATACATATACATATGTTGTGTTCCTTAAGATGTTTTAGTAAGTGTTCTGCATGAAAAAGAATTTTGGGGGACACCTGGGTAGTTCAGTCAGTTAAGCCTCCGACTTCAGCTCAGGTCATGATCTTGTGGTTCGTGAGTTCGAGCCCTGTGTCGGGCTCTGTGCTGACAGCTCAGAGCCTGGAGACTGCTTTGGATTCTGTGTCTCCCTCTCTCTCTGCCCCTCCCCTGCTAACACTCTGTCTCTCTCTCACAAATGAATAAACAATAAAAAAATGTTTTTTGGAATCAAATTGAGTTCTTTAAAGGCTAGGTTAAATTTTTTGAAGTTTTTTAATTTTAAGACTTTGTAGAGCCCTTAATATATACTAGTATTACTATCCAAATTAGGATTACAAAGTGCCATTTTTCCAAACCTAAAAAAAATTCTTTTTCCTGAAATACCAGTTAACATCTCTGGACTACTAGTATTCCTGAGAATACAATTTGGAATACAATCATTTTTGAGCCATCTATCTCCTCTGCCCTTTCCAACCTCTGGCTTTCCTACCCCACAGACCTGTACTTCCGGCGGCAGCAGCTGTTATAGTGAGGAGCTCTGTGCAGAGCACTTTGGGTGGTAAGTCGGGTCTGAGTTAACAGAGGAGCCTGGTATAGAGAGGGGAGACAGAGTCAGAGTCTTCAGAGCCAGAAAGTCAAAACCCTTCAAGCAGACCCACTGGGAACACACTCTCCCCACCCTGATTACCTCAGCTTTGGTCTCTGACCTCCTCAATTCATTCTGCTGTCTTGGATTCTGCTCTGTTCCCTTCCCTGGCTGCTTCTTGCCATAGAAAAGCTGCAGGCCTGAGGAGACAGGGGAAAGAATTAAAAACAGAGAAGCAACAGTGATCTGCAGAGATCTGGAGGATTTCTTCTCTAACCCCTGTCTTCCCTCAAACTTACTGGACAGATGTTTCTTGCCTGCACGGTGGGCAGTCAGCATGGCCAGGGTGTCCAGGACAGGTCGGTGGGGACAGATGGCACAAGCAAAGCTGGACAGGAGGAGAGAAGATATTTGCTCCCGGGGGGGAGAGGGGTCTCGGTTGTAAGTCCCACCTTGATCTAGCAATTAATCCTAGATACTCCAGCTCTCCCCCCGATAAAATTTTATTGAGCCTCTAACTGCAGAACCCTCAGGCTTGATCACTCCTCGTCCTCACCGTCCATCCCGTAGCATCAGCGCCTCATCCTCTGGGATGTAACTGGCCAGCAGATCTCCGACTCTTCGTTTCTACAGGGGGATCAGAGAGTTAGGAGAAAGGATCGGACGGGAAACGACAAGGACGAGGATTGAAAGGGAGTAAGGACCATGAGAACAGAGATCACAGGGAGAAAAAGGGGTCACTACCCAGCTCTAGTCGCTCCCTCGCGCCGCGCCCCCCCCCCCCACCCCGACTTGTTGCCAGAGCAGCAAAACAGCTCTTTCCCAGGGCAGTGAAGCTGCTCCCGGCGCTCTCCTCTAGCGCTTACTTTCAGCACATTGAGTTGACTCCAATCATCACCTTCCCTCTTGAAAGACATCACGACGGAGGCCCAGAAACGAGCAATTCTCCTGGGTTGCTTCGCCTCTCCTTTCAGGCCACCGTAGCAAGATTGGGGCGTCTCCTCTCCTTCGGGTTCTTTTCCGGTTGGCCTCCTTACTTCCCTGGAAGCGCTTCCCAGCATGCACAGCGCTACCGCAAGCCGGCCCCAGGCTGCCGAGGGGCCCGCACTTCCTACGCCACCCGGCGACCGCGCGCGTGCGGGGCATTTTGGGAAATGAAGTCTTTTTTTTCAAAGAGCTTGCCGCCTAGCCCTCGCATCTTGACAGATTCGGGGCGTCTGCAGGGGAAGAACCTAAATGTGGAGACTGATTTTGAGAGGGTGGCGGATTTGGTGCTGTGCGGGCCTTAGAGGATCTCGGATTGGAAAGTGTGCTACGAGCTCTCGCACTCATCACGCGCCTAGTCTCCGGCCGACAGCCCACCGGGGGTGGGCCGGGTTTATTCCTGACACTAGTGGACCAACCCCAGGACGGGGCGGAGCCAGGGTGTGGGGGGAATTCAGGAGGTCGGGGCTGTCCGACAAGGGGGCAAACTGAGCTGAGTGTGGAGGAAGGTAACTAGAGTTCAAAGGTCAGAGGTTAGCGTAGCGATCTGTGGCGGCGGGCGGGGGGGGGGCCGGGGGTCGAAAGTCGGCGGGGTCCTGAGGATAGACACCGGTAGGGACTGAACACTCAGGGTACAGATTTGTGGGAAAGGGGCTTGGAGGGAGGAGACGCGAGAGCGGAGGGGGTGCGTAGTACCGGAGGAGGCGGGAGAATTAGGAGAGAAGACAGAAGGGAAAAGGATCCTCTGGCTATCCATTCCTAGACCCCGGCCCCGTCACTATTGAGCGCTTAGTCGGGCCTCCCTTAGTTGCAACCCCGGCTGTCGGTAGGGTCAGGAGATGGCTTCTCCCTCTAGACAGGCCTCCCTTGGGGGGTCGGGACTGCTTCAAGGGAGCCGGGCTCGTTCTTACGGAAGCCTGGTGCAGTCGGCTTGCTCCCCGGTGAGGGAAAGACGCCTGGAGCATCAGCTGGCCCCCGGAGACACCCTGGCTGGACTAGCACTCAAATACGGGGTGACGGTGAGTCTTCCACGACTGGGATGCAGGCAACCATGTAGAAGAGATTTATTCCTCAGGAGGATGTCATGGCCCTTCTGGGCAGCTTCCCTGAAATTGTCCCAATTCTGTTGTGGTCTGATCCACCCTTTATCTTTTGGTTTTCCCATCTCAATGTTGCATTGTCTGGTTGGGACAGATCTTGTGCCACTGCTCCAGTGGAGAGGAGCTTCTTCTGTTTATCATGTCGGTCTCTATCCTAGAGGCTTTCAATGTACATTAGCCCATTTGGTTCTCACAGTCCTATCGAGCATACAGGTATTGTCCCCTGTTTACAGATGAAGAAACTGAGACCTAGATTGGTTAACCAATGTGACCAAGGTCAAATAACTAATGAGTGTTAGAGTGGGAATTCAAACAAGTCTGTCAGACTCCAAGGCCTGTACTGTTAGCCACACATAAACGTTTTAATTGCAAGTGATTAAACATTTACAGCAAACAGTCCAGGGCTGGTTTCTAGTTCTGAGTTTTTGTGAGACCAGTACTCTAATCCCTCTAGTTCTAAGTTTTTAAAGTCTTTCTCTTCTGGGTCTTTATACCTCATCAGTGCTCTGCCTTCTTCTTTCCAGTAAGGTGGCCTCCTTGGTGCAAAACAGGTACTCTCTACGCCAGGCATTTCAGGTCACGCGTGGGGTCTCTTTGATAGGTGTAAGAAACATCCCATTAAAATGGATGAATTTTTTTCCATACCCTGTTGAGTTTAGCCAACATTTCTATGGTTGGTATGTTTCAACGGCTGTGCTAACCATTCTAAGAGATAGAAACATAAATACAATGTGTTGTTGTTGCCCTTCTGTAATTTGCAATCTAGTGAGAAATGAACAAGGACACAAATATGGATTGCAGGTGACAGAATGTGGTGACTTTGTAGAAGTATTAATAAAGGGTAGGAAATCAGAAAAGAAGATTAATTTTTACTTGGAAGGAGGCAGGGGAGGACATTAAGTGCAGTTTTTAAGGAGCCGTGAAACACTTAGAAATTCCTTGCTCTAGCTTCTCTGCAAGCCTATAATCCAGTTGTTTATACCTTTTGCGTGTTTGTCTTTCCAATAATCTGTGCTTTCCTTAAGGGACAGAACTATTTTCTTTCAGTTTTATATCTCTAGAGTCTGGCATAGTCCCTAGCACATAGAAGCTAATAGATGGTTTTTTGAACTAATGAAAACGTGGCTAAGATTCCCACAGGTGGAGATTGGGAGGATTAGGAAAGCCACATTTCAAGTAGAGGCCATGGCCCACACCAAGGAAGGAGATATGAAAGTACTGAGCAGCTCCTGCATCCCAGGAGAGACTCTGAAGCTGTGAAAAGAAGGAAACTGTGCTACTGTAGATCGGTTATATGTGGAGGTTTTCTTACAGCCCTGTCCCCTCCTGAGTACAAAAAAAGCTCTGTAGCCTAGTGAAGGGTTCTAGGTTCTGGCCTCATTCTGCTGCTTACTAGCTGAGTGACTGCATAAGTCACTTCACCTGTCTGGGCCCTCAGCTTCCTTACTATTTGTAAAATGCAGAAGGTATATTAAATAATGATAATTACCTAGGTTATTACCTACCTAACACTAGGTAGTTACCTAACACCAGCTACCTTAGTGTTAACACAAAGTGTGTGCCAAGCTCTATATATTATCTCCATAAGACTTCAGGAGGTGGCTAAAACTATTCCCCAAATATTTAAAGATAAGGAAAGAAAGGCCTAGGAAGATAACCTGCTACAGATTACAAGTCTACTTAGTAGAACTAAGATTCAGACCAGGTTGTCTCATTCTAAAATCATCACTTTGAACTGCTCTGTTAAACCAGCTAGATTCTAGGGGCGCCTGGGTGGCTCAGTCGTTAAGCATCTGATTTCGGCTCAGGTCATGATCTCATGGTTTGTGAGCTCAAGCCCCGCTTCAGGTAAAACACGAGCCCTGCTTCAGGTGAGCCCCGCTTCTCCCTCTTTCTCTCTGCCGCTCGCTCATTTGCACTCTCTCTCTCTCTCAAAAAAGAAATAAATAACTAGATTCTAGTGGCCTTTCTAGCTCAGTGGACTGTGGCTCAGCAGTCTAGGACTCCTCTGGAGTTTGGCTTTAGTTACATTCTTTTTTTTTCTTTTTTTAATTTTTGAGAGAGACAGAGACAGAGCATGAGGGGGGAAGGGCAGAGAGAGAGGGAGACACAGAATCCGAAGCAGGCTCCAGGCTCTGAGCTGTCAGCACAGAGCCTGTCACGGGGCTCAGACTTACAAGCTGTGAGATCATGACCTGAGCCGAAGTCCTACAGTCAACTGACTGAGCCACCCAGGTGCCCCTGGTTACATTCTGTTAAAAAGTGGAATGATGTTCGGGCGCCTGGGTGGCGCAGTTGGTTAAGCTTCCAACTTCGACTCAGGTCATGATCTCACAGCTTGTGAGTTTGAGCCCTGTGCTGACAGCTGAGAGCCTGGAGTCTGCTTTGGATTCTGGGTCTCCCTCTCTCTCTCTCTGCCCCTCCCCTGCTTGCACTCTGTCTCTCTCTCTCTCAAAAATAAACATTAAAAAAAATTTTTTTAAGTGGAATGATGTGGCCTTATATGGAATTTCTAGTAAATAGTAAAATAACAAAATTCACAGAATAATTCATAGCATCTTGGAGCTAGAAGGGACCTAGGATACTATCTAGGCAAAATAAAATTAATAGCATCAAAACACTGGGCTAAATAAAAGTACAAAACTGCAAGCCAATTTTAACTTTTTTTATTCAGATTAATCCAATTTTATTTTAAACACATTATAGCATATGATTTTTACTAATATACTACATCTGAGATTTCTATATTTTGTTATCTAGTTTATTTACTCATAAAGCATTAATGAACCTCTGCTGTATGCCAAATTTGTGTCATGCTGAGGAGTGCCTTGGGATACAGAGACAGCATCCCCGCCCTCAAAGGACTCACAGAGTTTGAGCAAGACAAATGTGCAAAGATGTGAATAACAGTACAATAGGGTGATAGGTGTTACATGGCAATGTTTACAGGACCTTGGGAGTCCTGGAGAAGGTGACACAGAGGGAGTGACAGTTGATGAGTGGAAGTTTTCCCAGCAGAGAAGGGGATAGTGGAGAAGTGTGTCAGACAGATAAAGACACAAAGGTGTGGAAGATCATAAAATGTTTGAAAAACATGAAAAGTTCAGGATGGCAAAATGTATAGATGGCAGAAGAGAGATGAGGCTAGACATCATATTGGGGTAGATCGAGAATCCTTGAATGCTAATTTGAATTTTTATCTCTGAGCCAATGGGGGGCCATAGGAAGTTTATACACAGGGTAGTGGGTTGATCAGATTAATTTTTTTTAGGAAGATAGATGTCAGGGATGCCTGGATGGCTCAGTCTGTTGAACGCCCAACTGTTGACTTCAGCTTAGGCCATGATCTTAGGGTCATGGGATTGAGCCCCTCGTCCAGTGTGGAGCCCAGTGAAGAGCCTGCTTAAGATTCTCACTCTCCTTCCCTCTGCCCCTCTCCTCCTCTCACTTGCGTGTGCTCTCTCTCTCTCTCTCTTTCTCTTTCTCTAAATAAATAAATAAATAAATAAATAAATAAATAAATATCAATGTCAGCAGGGGGAGATGCATAGAAATGGAGAGAGGAAGACTGGAAGAGACGTTTTTTGCAGTAACTTGTTGACCAGCTGGGTATGGGTGGCGAAAGAAAAGTAGAAGTTGAGGATGGCATCTACCCTCGTTTCTACCTTGGGCGGCAAGTGGATGGTCATGCCAGACACTATGTCCAGTGATGGATAAATAGGTACTAAGTAAATTGGTCAGCAAAATTATTAATATTCGTGTGAAAAGCATTCCCAGAAGGAGTAAAAAGGCCCAGAATTCGAATTACACCTTTGTCATTAATTTGCTGGTTAATCTTAGGCAAGTAACAACCTGTCTGAGCCTCAGTTCCTTCATCTTTAACTGAAGGTCCCAGCATGAGACTCTTCAGGGATCCACAAGGTCAAAACTACTTTCATAGTAATGATAGTAAGACTTTGTCTTTTTCATCCTCATTCTCACAAGTGTACTGTATTTTTCAGAAGCTACATGACGTGTAATATTATAGCCCATCAGATGTAAAGGCAGATAGGAGAATCTTCTGTTGTCTTCTGTTAAGTCACACATTAAACTGACTTGAAAAAATATAAAGCACTGCCTCTCTTTTTGCTCCATTTGTTGTTGTTTTGGAAAATAGTTATTTTTCATTAGCATATTTATGTTAACATGCAATGGGTTATTTTTAAATAAGTACACATTTTTCAATTTGTTCACTTTTACTTTATAAGAACGTGTATTGATAGCTATAATCTACATAAATGAAAGCTTTTTTTTTCCTCAATAGTTTTTTAAAATGCAAAGGGACCCTAAAACCAAAAAGTATGAAAACCGCTGATGAATAAAATAGGAATAGTATGGAAACCAATTTGACAATAAATTTCATATTATAAATAAATAAATACCCTAAAAAATAAAATAAAATAGGAATAATATCAACCCTCTGTATTTTAGCTTGGTTGTTATAGGGTCAAATAAGACTCTGTACAATCACTTTAAAAGGCCTGAGGTGCTGTACAGATAGAAGATTGATCATTATTACTGTCATTAATTGCGGTGACTTTTTTTTAAAGATGGAACAGATTAAGCGTGCAAACCGCCTTTATACTAATGACTCCATCTTCCTGAAGAAAACCCTCTACATCCCCATCCTGACAGAGCCCAGAGACCTGTTCAATGGTTTGGATTCTGAGGAAGAGAAAGAGGGAGAGGAAGAAGTACAGTCAAGTAAGGATGAAGTTCAGCCACACTCAGCTGACAGGAAGAAACGAGAAACAGGTTCAGGACGTGCTAACGGTGAAGTCCTTCCCACACCTGGCTGGGAACCCCACGCTCCCATCCATGACCTCTCTGCCTCTGATTTCCTTAAGAAGCTTGATTCACAGATCAGCCTGTCAAAGAAGGCTGCTGCCCAGAAGCTGAAAAAGGGGGAAAGTGGGTGAGTCTTGAATGGTTCCTTTTACGCCCCTCCATAGACTTCTTCATTCTTCCAGCCTTGCCTGACCAGACACACAAGTAAGTAAGCACAGTGTTAGCAGAAGCGATGTGAAGCCTTTCCCCCAGATGGCCCTGAAACAACGACAGAGCCAATGGCTGCTGGGACGGGTAGAGCAGCGGGAAATGGTTTTGTATTCTCATTGGAGTAAAATAGTTGAGTGTTGTTATGGCTCTGATGATCCGTGAAGGAGCGTTAATGGTTAGCATTTACAGAGAGGGTAGCGAGACTCCATCTGAGAGCAAGCAGCTCATGTATACTAGGAGAGGAGGACAGCTTCCCCTATACCTTTTCAGTGGGCCCTTTCTCAGGTTCTTCCCCTGACCTGTCACTTTGCCCCCTTTCCTCACCTGCAGGGTACCTGGGGAGGAGTCAGGCCTTCACCTGAGTTCCCCTCGGATGCAGCAGCGAGCAGTCCTAGGTCCAGTCCCGTTGACCCGGACCTCTCGGACCCGGACACTTCGGGACCAGGAGGATGAAATCTTCAAACTCTGATGTCCCCAGAAATGATTGGGAGAAGCAAGATGTTGAAGTAGCAACTTGAGGGGGAGAGGAGCCTGAGGTGAGGCTCAAGAACACAGCTTCCCGGCCCGCCTCCCTCCCTCCTGCCTTCGTTCCAGCCTTCTCGTTGATCTAGAGTTCCTTGGCCCGGGGCAGCTTGATTGGCAAGAGTAGAGGACGGGGAACAGACCCCTCCTCAGTTCTTTGTCTGAATCTAGAGCTGTCCTTCAGATTCAAAAGGCTCTTTTTACGTCCCTGTTGGCTTCCCCGTCCCTTTTACCTTCCCTTGGCCTTAGAACAGGGTGGCGAGGACTCCCTCAGCCCCCAGCCTCCTTCCTCTCCGTCTCCAACTATGTTACCTAATTTATTTGGTGCTATATTGAAGTAGTATTTATTTGCTGTATCGTACATTTCCCTCTTATAACTGAAAAATGGAATTTCTATAACTCTGGGGTGAAGGGAGCCCAGGAGTAGTAAGCCAATGCCTGCTGGCTCCCCACCTTCCCCACCTTCTTAGCCAAGCATGTCACTGAGGGTGGGGCAATCCGTGATCTAGCCCCTCTGCAGAGAATGGTGGACCGTGCTGGGGCTTTTCCCCAGTCTCAATGTAAAGAATTTGGGCTCAGTCTTAACCAACCAGTCCACTATAATTTGTTTATAACTCTTGCTCTGAGAAAAAGCAGCAACATAGGAACGGAACTCTCCACATCACCAGTTCACCCTTCTGACCTGCTCCTCTGTTCAGCATGTGTGAGGCTAAGGGATGACAGAGGAATTACTTTGGAGTTTGAGGAGGAGGACAGTTGGGGGAGACTTGCTGGTGCGGGAGTTTCTTTGTTACACTCCCTCCCCACCAGCGCTGTTGATCTATGCCTTGCTCCTCACTGCGTATTTATTTGCAATCTGTAGCACTGATCTGTGGTACTGGGTTTTTTTTTGTTTTGTTTTGTTTTGTTTTTTTAGAGTTTCTTAAGCAGCAGTAGGCAAGGGAACCCCAATACTACTGGCACTATGCCTCTGTCTCCTGTCTGGAAATGGTGAGAGGCTAGATAAGCGGTGTTTCTCTTTCCCTCACCTCTGTGATGGTCATAAGGTGTAAGAAGCTGGAGAGATTAAACACTGAGCCCTGTGCATGCTTTAGTAGTTTTATTTCCCCTGTGAGAATCTCCCCTGCCCTAGCCCCTTCTTCCTGCACTCTGGAACAGAGCCTCTGGTGTCCATCCAGGCTCTACTTGGAGCTGGAGGTCTAGGATGGCTCTAAGGGGGCCACTCCCACTTCTGTCTTTAGGGTCCCCTGACGGGTTAGATGGGCTATGCCCTCTTACCCTGGTTCACAGGGGAGGGGGCTTCCCTGTTTCAAATGTCCCTTATGGGGGAAATAGAGATCCAAGTTTCACTTCGTCTTTTTCAGGCAGCTTTGTTTCCTGTCCTGGGGCTGGAGTGGGAGAGAGGCCTCAACCCTCAGCTTTGCTTCTTCTCCACCAGCAGTTCGGGGGTGGGGTGGTCTCAGAGTCCAAAGCACTCTTAGGAAAGACGAAGCCCGAGGACTGACAAGCATTAGTGCAGATGAGCAGGGTTAGAAAGCTCGTTCCGGGTTGTTTCCTCAGTCAGCTCTCTGGCCAAGGTGGCTTGTGCTGGGTTCCAGGGCCCTCAGAGTTTCCCCTCATCCAGCATCTTCCTGAGCCCATCACAGATCTTGCCCAGGTGCTGAGTGAAGTCGGGCCCGTAGAGGGCGGTGAGCAGGCCCGCGTCAGAGAAGTGATCGAACACGTGGCGGATGCGGCCGTGTGACTTGGGTGTGAGGTGGTGCTCCACCAGCTCCAGCAGCACATCCCGGCACTCGGTCAGCAGGCCAGCCAGCACCGCAGCCTCAAAGGTGAAGTCCACCTCGCCAAAGCTGAGTGCCGTCATGGCGCCCTGCCGCAGCTTTTGGCGGAAGCGGGCGGCCAGGGCCAGCTCACCGGGGCCAAAGCAACCGCTGCGGTGCAGCACGGCCACCTTGACCGCCACCTTGATCAGGTCCTTGATCACCCGCTGGGCCTGGGGCCGGCTGTGCGTGTACTCTTTGGAAACACGGTAGAGCTCATCTAGCACCGCGCTGCTGGTCTCGTCGATGAACAGATGAGCCACGGACCGACCTGCCATCTTACTCAGTAGCTTCTTCTCCGCCTGTAGTGCCAGACTCTTTGAGCTGAAGGACTCCATAGTGCCTGGGGAAGGGGCGGTGGGGGCATGTGGTTAGTCGCCAGAAGACAGCCACAGGCATCCTTAGAAAGAGAGACATGGCTTTTCCCCCTTACTCTGGTTTCTTGCCCGTTGTCATCATTTCATCTTTTTCCCCTGGGCCCCCTCGGTTCTCTAGGCCTGTTCCCATTTCTTTTCAAGTGGTACTGTAGGAAATTTTGATTTCTAAACCCAGAGGAGCAGTAATAGCTTTGGCTGGAGGAGTGAAGGCTCACAGGGGCTGGGCCTCACACGTGAAGTCTCAAGGGGAAGTAGGCCATTGCTGCCCTACAGTGGAGAAGATCTGCCTTACCTGGCTGATCATTCTACCCTTGTGGACGCTGACTGTGTGCCATGTGTCTATGAGGTGTGGCTATGACTCTCTGTTTTACAGCTGAGCAAACTGAAGCTCGCTTTAAAGAATTTACCCAATGTCAAATGCCACCGTTTTTCTGGCCCCAAAAGCCCATGTCAGCTCGTGTGCTCTACTGTCTGTAAAGAAATGGGGTGGGGGTGGGGGATCTCAGGAGTCCTAATAAAAATAACAACTAACGTTTATTGAGACCCTATGTGCCAAGTACTTTATGGGAATTGTCTTCCCGACCCTTCGTTAGGTCAGTGTCACCGTCTTACGGTGAGAACACTGAAGCTAAGAGGAATTAAGCAACTTGGCCAAAGTCGCTATAGCAAATGATAATGAGCTTTGAACTAAATAATCCGAAGAAACCTCCTTCCCTGGAATGTTCTCAGTGAGGTCCATGCACATGTGAGCATGAGAAACAAGCACCCCAGGGCGGGAGGGGGCAGGCGGTCCTGGAGGCCTGCAGTCTTCTACTGGGACTGACCCCAGGACCCTCCTGGTGGCACATCACTGGCATATATCCAGGGTTCTCTCCCCGTGGTCTTCGCCCGTGGTTCTGGTTGTTTTGCTTCTTACTTCCCCCTACCCTGCGCTGCAGGATGTGGCTGTGACCGCAGTGAGGAGCAGCCTCGCCCTCTCCCCCAAACCCAAATGGGAGCCTGAAGACTCAGGGCAGATGGGTGCTATTGACTGGGGCAGGGGTTTCTTCCCCAGCTGTACCGGTTCAATGGGAGCCTGAAAAACTGCTTTGCTCCTGGGCCTGCCTGGGGTTTTCAGGCCCAGGCTCCACAGCCGGAAGAGGAGATTGCTCCATGCGAGCCTGCCTTCCTCCTTGGCCTTCCTGTTCCCCAGCTCTTCATTGCAGCCGTTGTTATCTCCCATTTGCTCCACTGTCCTCTCTCTCCCTGTTTCAGTCTCTCTTTTTCTCTTGTCTGGGTCCTGCCCTGCGACCCTCTGCTCCAGCTCCCCCTCTGGCCCTTATGTCTACCCCCATGTCTCCTAGGACGTCCTTACATGTCTCCGTACTCTGTTGCACACCCACATCACCCCCATGCCTCGGCCCTGCCTCTACACTGTCCCAAACCCCGTCTTTCTTTCTGAGGCATCCTTGCCCCAGGGAAAACTGAGTTGGACCTTTCTGCTGAGGACCCAAGAATTCTGTCAAGTGAGAGTCTCACAATATGGAAGGCTCAGGCTGGCAGGGCTGGGACCTTTCTGCCACCACCACCCCTAAAGACTACCCTCCTGTCATTGCTGGCCCCTCACCTGCTGCGTGCACTGGTGTCAGTCTTGCTTTGGGTGTCCCGGGAGAGCTGATAGAATGGAGAAGCTCCTAAGCGAGAGGCTCTTTGGCTTGGCCCCACCCCTGAAGCCCCGCCTACCAACTCGGTGCTCAACCTCCGGTTCATCACACTGTCTCTAAGAAGGTCTGTGGCCCAAGAGCCTCCCAGAAATACAACAAAGGTTAAAAGGAATACCAAGCATTCTGGAGGAAATAGCCTTGATTTGAGGTCATGAGGAGGGATTGCACATCCCCTGGTCTCAAATTGTTTGCTTCTTTCTTTCCTCGATGCCCAGTTCCTTGAGATCTTCGATTTTTGTGGTACTGGGAATGATATGAAGTACAAATTGCTGGAGTAGGGGTCAGTGGGGAAGGTTTTGAAGATTGAATTGAGCTTAGGCTGGAGATGCCAGAGGCAGACCAGAGACCAGCAGGTGTGAGCATGTCCCTGGAGTCTCCAGGGGAGGGTGGTGCTTGGGGCAGCGGTATCACAAGCATAGGCCTCCAGTGCCTGCCTGGGTAAGGGGTGGCATGGACTGTCTCTGCCCTTAACCCTAGAGAGGAAGGTGCTGGGGCCAGGGCGACCAAGCCAGATGTGACCAGCAGGTGTCAGCACAGCACTGAACCACTAGAGGAAACGCAGCTACTTATGGTGCTTTGTAGCTGCTATAGGGATGAAGGTAAGACAGTTTCTGAATGAGGCCCAAATGTTTACCATCAAGAATCTGACAGTCTGGACAGGGAGATAAACTTAAGCAAGTGTAACTATAATGCAAGTCAAATGACGTCATTAGCTTTAGTAGAAATTGGAAGAATAATGAGAGTAAAGAGATGTTTAGATTATTTCTGAGAGGAGGGCTGACAAGGCAGAACGAGGAGAATGAATTCAACTATTTACGAGGCAGAGATGGTGGAGAAGTGCTTCCCAGATGATGGGGATAACCATAAGCCATCCAACAAAGGTAATGTAGAGCATACTCAGGAAGCGCTGAGAGAGAAGTTGCTTGAGAGAGAAGGAAAGAAGGTTGCTTGAGAGAGAAGAAAAGAAGGAAAAGGCAGATCATGGTAGGCTTTAACAGATTTGCTCAAGGGTTCACACTTCTGTGGGCAGTGGGGAGACATTCGGCATTTTGAATCAGGAGAAAGAAATCATTAGCTCAGTGGGAATGGGTTAGAGGCTCCAATAAGTTTTTAGCGGAGGGAGGGCCCGCTGGATTGGCATATAGCTTGCACAGGATGAGGCCTGATGAGAGACCTTGGGCTTTGGTGATTTTACAAGAAGTTCTAGCAGAAGGGGAAGGGTTGGAAAGTGGGTTGGCTTGCAAAAGTTGAAGAGTAAATTGAAGTTCCGGAATAGAAGCCATCCACATGACACGGACTCCATGGTTGAGAGGTTTCAAGAGGTGAAATAACCTGTCCCCAAATTTGAAAACTAGTCGATGGCAGATTAAGGGCCTTAGGTGATTCCCAAGCCTTTCCGGCTCATTTCCTCACAAGATGATGAGGCAGTAAATTCTACCTCATAATGAACATGGCAGGGTCCTGCTCCCGTATGCTCTGATTAATTCACTGATCATACATTCTGGGGACAGTGATACTACCAAAATCACAGGGACAGTGAGAGTCCTTTTTATTTATTTTTTATTATTTGTTAATGCTTATTTTTGAGAGAGAGAGAGTGTGAGTGGGGGAGGAGCAGAGAGAGAGGGAGGCACAGAAGCCCAAGCAGGCTCCGGGCTCTGAGCTGTCAGCACAGAACCTGATGCAGGGCTTGAACCCAGGGCTTCAACCTGAGCCAAAGTCAGACGTTCAACCCGCTGAGCCATCCAGGCTCCCCGAGAGTCCTTTTTAAAAGGAATGTGCCATCTGGGGTGCCTGGGTGGCTCAGTTGGTTGAGTGCCCATCTCTTGATATCAGCTCAGGTCATGATCTCACGGTTCCTGGGATCCAGTGCCACGTCAGGCTCTGTGCTGTCTGCCCCTCCCTGTCCCTCCCCTGCTGGCGCTCTCTCTCTCTCTCTCTCTCTCTCTGTCAAAAAGAAATAAACATTTAAAAATGTGCAATCTAATTGGAAAATAAGAGAAGTGTGAATACAAGAAGTTGCAAATACTTTCTGAGTCCAGAATTCTCTGCCAATTCCTTACCCACTAACCTCTCCGGCTTCTCCTCTTGTGTGCTCCTTGTGCTCAGCTTTCTCTGTCCCTTGTCCTGGGCTCCAGCTGTGTTGTAATTGTCTCAATTCCTCCAGTACTCACCGTGCGTGATTGCTGTTTCCCTCCTTCCACCTCATGCTGTGTTCTAGACTTTCCCCCTTCTTGTGTCTCTACCTGGAACTCTTCACACACACACACACACACACACACACACACACACACACACACAC